TAATGGCCTGAAAAAAATTTTATAAAAATTTTTTTTATAAAGCGCGGGGTCGGTGAGTGGAAGAAAGAAGCCCAGAGAAACGTTTAGGTAAGGGATCTTGCACTGAGACCGTATGATTCTATTTGTATTCCTCATTGACTGAAATGAGATCTATCTTTCACGCTACGAATGCAGAGAACGAAAAATGTGCCTCTGTTTCGGTTACGAATCTGCGAAACTTCAAAAGCTATTACTCATTACCGCAGAACTTCACAAATGATGGCGGCGGAGACGCTTCTATTTGCATTTTTTGGGTAGCGTCACTAAGGAATCTAATTGGCTTACCCGTGTACAAGAACAAGAGCTCCTTTCTGCATCCTGAACTATCGCTGCAAACGTTTTTTTTGTCATTTCTACAATCAACAAAACAACAAGGATAAAACAAAACCCTTCCCACAACGCGTCACTTAAAGCCACGAGTCAGGATTAGGCAACCAGCAGAAGTTCTTCCCAGGGTGCGATAGTGGGCTCCCCAAGCACTGAGGGCGCGACACTATCGCGACCCAAAAGTGCGCGGCAATGGCGCTAAGGCCTTGCCCGCCGCGCTGCCCGCGCTGCCAGTGTAACAGGGTGAATAACGGTCGAGGAAATCCTCGACAGGGGGTCGTATTTGCTCCGATGAGAGTTGGGAGGGGGTCGTAATCAAAAGGTTCATCAACGGACACAACGGTGCTGCTGCCACTTATTTGCTGTCATCATTAGTTTCACAAGTGTTGTACTTAGTTATCAGATCCTGCCACCGCAAGCTGTCATTCATCAGAACGGGTTGGAAAGGAAGCGATTTGAATAAAGGAATGATCAGACATCACTATGACCACAAGAGTTATCCTAATTAGTTAATACTGGAAATATCTTTTGGTGTGCTTAAGCAAGTCGTCACTAGGACAAAACACCTTCCCAATGACTCCGAGTGGGGTCACTGCATGGCGCATACAAGAACGGAATGGATCCGCGCCAAGTGCATCATTTTCAATTTACTCCATCGAACTGACGTGTACAGAAGTATTTTGAAGGTGTTCAAAGAAGTTCCCTACTACGGCGAGGGAGTAATAGAGTTTTCGAGTGGCTTCGAAAATTTCCTTGACATTTCCTCGACGCAGATTTCTCGCGAACTAGAAAGCGTTCGAAACAACTGGAGCACCTATCAGAAAGCGTAAATCTTCTACTTTACAACGCTTTCCTCCGATTTTCAAAGCATTGCCAATGAAGACAGCTACTGTCTTCCAAAGAGTGGGAACTCGCATGTAAATTTCAATTTCCTCGACAATTCCTCGACGTTTCCCACTCTCGAGAATAGGCGTGCTTACCA